TCTGAGTCGTCGGTAATGAAACCTGAGTTGTGTACTACCTAGAGTCCTAGAGTCTAGACTGGGCAATCTAGTGACGGACCAAGACCAAATGCACTATTTGCCGAAACCTGTAGCCGTTCTGTCTTGCTTACATTATAATTATCTTCATCATAAAAAATATATAAAAATTTCAGCTCTAAGAAACCATCCGTCGGAACGTTGATGTACGAGGAGTCCGTGTTTGTGCCACTCTGCCGCACCTGACCTGGCGAAACGCCCTTCGATCTCGGCTTGACTGGTCGAGCTTTGGACCGAAGGTGGGTCGAGCTTGAGCGACCGGGCGGGGGCGGCGGCGGCATCGACGATGACGATATCAATGACTGTGGCCCTGGCAACGACTGGCGAGTCCGCTTGCCCTTGCCTGAAAGGACGAACCCCATTTCTATGCAGCGCCGACGAAACTGAACAGGGGTGATGAGGGCGTTCGCATATCTCGTGGAAGGAAATATCTCCTGGTTGCTGCCGACCTGGACCAGGCCTGAGGCCCCCGATTTACCAGCGATCTCTGCTTGGTGCTCGATCAAAAAGTCGATGGGGCGAATAGTGTTCACTCTGTACTGCGATGGCGGCGCTCTGCTGTTCAGGTCGACGATGTTGCGCAATGTGGAGACATAGTTCCTGTAGATTCTCAAATGCGGCCTAATATAAGATTAAGGTAACCTTATCCTGAACTTGATTCTTGTCTCTTACAGCCTTTCTGGCAAACACATCGACGTCTGACTCACTGGAAAGCACACAGTGACTATACTGAAATGCCGAGGTTCGCAACTTCTGTCGCCGACCAGCCCAAAAGGCGCATGAGCGTCATGGCACCAAGTGTCGCGGAGCGATGGGCTCCGTTGACACAGCAGATGAGGACCGACACGCCGCGGTGCAGCAAGGAGATCACATTGTCGATCTGCTGCAGCACGCTCTCCATGTTCACGTTGCCGTGCACGACGCCAGTCCCATCTGTGTACCTCAATACACGGATCGCCGCTGTGTCATCCGGCTGGACCGACTTGGCCGCAGGCCACACCGCTCCGATTCCATTCCTGATCATCAGGTTAGTGTCGGTGCCTGCCTTCGATCCGCCGAGCCACAACTTGGAACCGAACTCATTCGTCAGGTCCAAGATGACATGGGCAGGATGCCTACACAGGGCCCAAACAGAAACGTTAAAAGTTCAAAGAGCCAAGAGTCCAAAACGAAACCCCCGGCTACGCCTTAAAGCAACTAACTTAGAACTGCCTCCTGCTTCCTATGCCTTAGTATAGGACTATAGACTGTAGTATGGTATGGTAAGTCATAAAGTATGAGAGCTATAGGCTACAGGCTTTGGGGGGCGCCTACTGCTCTAGGACTCTAGGCTATAAGCCATAACGGCTAGTTTGAGTATTTGGGCACATCGATCCTGTCGTTGTAGCTGTTCCGTGCCCACTTGATCGCCTCGACTCCACCGTAGGTGTCACATGCGAGGTGGTCCGTGATGACGACCACATGCTGCCTGAGCTCTTGTGAAGTCATCTCCGGACCCGGCCAAAGGCCCTGTAGCGCGGACGCACGAGCGTCCATGCTTTCGAAACAAGCTGCCAACCCTTCTGTCCGCAAGAAAGCCAGGAGCTGGGTATCGGTCATTTCGAAAAGCCCCGACGGCCCCGACATTGCAATCGGGGATGCTCAGAAAAAAAGACACACGTCACTCACTCACTGTGTCAGCTGAACGTCGCGATCTTGAACCACATGCAGAGTGCACATGCATCAGAGGTCAAAACTGTCAAAACATGCAACGACACTCCAAGTAGACTTTGCAACTGTAGGACATGCTACGGCAGCCATAAAGCAGAAGTTTAATCAGTCGCTTATGGCATCGTGCGCAATCACAACCAGATTTATCTAGATTTACCACTGATTCCCAAATCAAGAACCCAACCGAACCCCAGCACTCGGTCCTGTCCAGGGGCCGCGGAAGAAGTCCACGAACTTCTTGATCCGCTGCGAAACTCCGGAACGTTCTTCAGGTTTGGCATCGCCCAATCCTTGCAGCATAAGTTCTAAGAAGGTGGTTGCTTGCTTGCGTGCGCTGGACCATTCGGCCTGCAAACCTGGAGGCTCTTCTGACATGACGACCAAATCCTTGTCAATCTGTTGCTTGACAGCTTCCCTCAGATCCTTGAACACTTTGCCTTTACTGGTGCACTTTGCTACACAGTAGGAACCTGGCAGAATGCCCAAAAGCTTTGTAATTCGCTCAACCACGTTCCCGTTCCTATGTTGAGCACAAAGCATAGGGATAAAAAAACACTGCTCAGGCAGAACTGCATGCAAATGTTTGAGCAACTTGATATTTGCTGAGGCCTGGTCGCACGTCACCAGCAGACATGGAAAGTCAGCCAAGGTGCAAAAGCTACCTGGCCCAAGGCCCCCTGCTCCGAGGTTCAATGCTGCCCACATGCATGCAGTTGTTTTGCGGGGCAGGGCCTGAGGCACTCGAATGAAATCCTGTTCTGTCATACTTCCTGCTGAACCGAAGCTCAATTGAGAATGAGAAGCTAGAATTGACCAGGAGCCCGGCCCATCAC